TGATTACAGCAACTGTAAATGTAAATGTTTTGTAGTGAAAAGGGATGAGTGGTTGATCTTTCAGTCCTGGAGCAGAGGACCCTGGGACTATCAAGGGAGAAGAGTGGGAGTGGAGTGTGAGACCCTACTCAGAGAAGTGGCTATGCCAGAGATGGGAGTCAGACAGAGATGGTGACATGGAAAGACAGAGCAACTGAAGACACTAGACGCATGGAGAGAGAGGGGATGTGGGCTGGCGGCTGGTGGGCATGATTACAGGGTGGGCCTACTGGCTTTTTGAATGACTGTATACTCCTGAGTGTTTTGGTGCACATCCAGAAAGAAAACAAACAGAGGCAATAGAAGCAAATACTATTGAATGATGAAGCATGCAGGATATTGTAATCACTGCAATGAAATGAATACGATAGGATGAGTGTAAAACTGATGTTCCCTCATGTAAACTATCAATCAATTCACAATAAAAACTTTTTTAAAAAAAGAGTCAATGTACTGGAGAAAGTAGCCTAAGGTGCACAGAAGGCAATTACAAAGAACAAGGCTTTGGGAATTGATGGAATATAAACTGAAATATTTCAACAAACTGAGGCAGCATTGGAGGCACTCACTTATCTGTGCCAAGAGATCTGGAAGACAGCCACCTGGCAAACTGATTGGAAGAGATCCTTATTTGTGCCAATACTAAAAAGGGGTGACCCAATGAACTGTAGAAATCATCAGACAATATCATTAATTATCACATGCAAGTAAAATTTTGCTAAAGATAACTCAAAAATGGCTGCAACAGTACATTGACAGGGAGCTACCAGAAATTCACGCAGGATTCAGATGAGAATGTGGAACAAGAGATAGTATTACTGATGTCAGATGGATTCTATGCTGAAAGCAAGCATAGAATTCCAAAAAGATGTTTACCTGCTGTGCTTTACTGACTATGCAAAGGCTTTAGACAAGCTATGGACAACACTGCAGAGCATGAACACTTAACTGTGCTCATGAGGAATCTGTACACAGACCAAGTTGCAGTTGTCCAAACAGTATAGGGGGCACTAAATGGTTTAAAATCAGGGAAGGTGTGCGTCAGGATTGCATTTTTTCATGATACTAATTCAATCTGTATGCTGAGCTAATAATCTGAGGTGAATTAGATGAAGGATGAGAG